TGTTTAAGCAATCTACATGTCATGTTAAACATTATAAACAAGTACACTAACCTTTTGATCACACATCCAAAATCTTCTTCCAGGATTTTTTTTTGTCCAGGAAGTAAAAATCACCATCCCTTTGCCACAATTGCACATAGGCACCTCAAACCAATCCACATGGTCAAGAATTCTTCTTGAGTTGAAAGAGTAATGAACACCACTACTACCAAAAAAAATAAAATTCATATGTGAATGAATTCGTATGAAAGCAATCAGGGAAAATCACAGTACCTGTTTGAAGCCATTGTTACAGAAATAGTTCTTTACTTCACTTCTAGCACCTGAAATTTTCGTTTGAAACGCATTGGGGAAAATCAAAATCTCATAATTTCACCTTAAACCACAAACACCAAGAACAAGAAGATGGAAAAACATATTTCATCACCAAGAACAAGAAGACAATCGAATACTTACCTATGAACATGAGGCGGAGATCAGTTGCGAAAACCCTACCCCCAATCATGCGTTGCGTTTGAGTGTTCTGAGATCGAAGAAGAACTTGTAAGCTTTGCAGGGTAAAAAAGACATTACACTATTTTAAACTTGATAAGTTAACGGAGAGAGTAGGCTTAACGGGTATGTGGATGAAAAGTCCCTGATTGGTCATTAAATCCTAAATTTGGGTACCCTGGCAGTATATTTCTAAAAAACGTAGGACCTGGTAGTTTTTACAACAAAACCTAGGGTACCTACCAGCAGTTTTTTGTATTTTTTATCGTCTCATTTCGAGTTCAATTAACAAAATCATGATTCAAAAGTTACCTATTTTTTGGTTGGCGAGGAAATGGTGAGAAAGAAAAAGGAAGATAAGAAAACACAAATATGCATATAATTTTTCTTGTTTGGATGATAGAGAAAAAGGTGAGAAAAAATTTGTGTGTGAACCATGTCAAAACTTTTGTCATCAACAAGGATGAGAAATTTCTTTCTTTTCATTTTCATTTTTTATTTCTACTTTTTTAATCGTTTTCTATCAATCTAAACATTAATTTTTTTTCTCACCAGCCAAACAAACTATTACGGTAAAAAATGCTAAAAAGAAGCAACATGTTATGGACTGCTTAAACCAATCAACAAAAATGCATAGTGTTGGAAAGAGATGATTGGTGGCTGTGGGGTTCGAACCCACGCGCCCTTATGTGGCCCTTATGTGCGCGTAGAAGATCTTAAGTCTTCCCCCTTAACCTCTCGGGCAAACCACCCGATGTTAATCTTTCGTTAAATAAAAATATATTTCTCTGCATTTTTTATTCCAGGAGAATTAGGTTATTCCAGAAGCTTCGCATACACTCCGTATGTAGATACACTCTTCGAACGAGTAGAGAGAAGGCGAGACCAGAAGTTAGAGAGAGAGAGAGAGAGAAGTTGAGTTCAGATCGGCTTCAATGGCGGAGCACTTGGCTTCCATATTCGGTACGGAGAAGGACAGGGTCAACTGTCCCTTCTACTTCAAGATCGGCGCCTGCCGTCACGGCGACCGCTGCTCCCGCCTCCACACCAAGCCCAGCATCAGCCCCACCCTCCTCCTCTCCAACATGTACCAGCGCCCCGACATGATCACCCCCGGCGTCGACGCTAACGGCCACCCCATCGATCCTCGCAAGATGCAGGAACACTTTGAGGTAATCCATTTATCATCCATCCTCGACTTCAGAGATTCGATTGTCTCTGTTTTCTTCTTTTTCCACTGTTAATTGATCCCGTTTCCAGCACCGATTTTGTGTTTCAATCGTATCCGAATGAATTGCCTGCAGGAATTTTATGAAGATTTATTCGAAGAGTTGAACAAGTATGGCGAGATTGAGAGTTTGAATGTTTGCGACAATCTGGCTGATCACATGGTAATCCTCACTATATTACCTAGTTTTGTCCTGTGATTCATTTTTCCCGTCTAATTTGAATTGGTAGGTGTTCTGTTACCATGTATTTGTCTGTGCGATGTGTTGTACCAGGTGGGAAATGTTTATGTCCAGTTTAGAGAAGAGGAGCAGGCTGCAAATGCCCTAAAAAATCTATCCGGGAGGTTTTATGCTGGTAATTGTCCGAATTAATCTTCACGCATTTCTACTTGTAGTGTTCTTCTTTAAGCAAGTCCAAAGCACTTACATGTTGCTTCTTATATCTAATGCTTTACCCTATAATATAGGGAGACCCATCATTGTTGATTTCTCTCCGGTCACTGATTTTCGTGAAGCAACATGTAGACAGTATGAGGAGAACTCTTGCAACCGCGGTGGCTACTGCAACTTTATGCATCTTAAGATGATTGGCAGGTTGGATGATGATTGTATATCTTGTTATGTATATCTCTACTGCCAATAACTACTTTTTCCACTGAAGAATTGTTTCTTATCTTGTAAACTATGAATGACAGGGAACTGAGAAGGACTTTGTTTGGGAGGTACCGTAGAAGGCACAGCCGAAGCAGGAGTAGAAGCCCATACAGGCATCGGAGCTATGAAGAGCGTTCTCACAGGAGCCATAGTAGGAGGCGCGATGATGACGATGATATGGATGATTACTATGAGAGTAGAAGTCGGAGACGCAGAACCACAAGTCCAGGCCATCATCGCAGAGGGCGAAGTAGGAGCCCAGATACTGGCAGGAGAGAAAGAAGAAGTCCTGTTAGGGACGGGAGTGAAGAGAGGCGTGCTAGAATAGAGCAGTGGAACAGGGAAAAAGAAGATTCTAAAAGATCCAATGCAGAATATCACGATCATAAAAGGGAAAACGGTGAAAATGGTTATCCGCAACAAAGTGGATATGCTTACTGATATCCATTGAACTGAACTGGTTTGTGTCTTTTTCCTTATAACTGAATCTCTGTTTTCTTTGTTCCTTTGGTGCATCATTTCACTTGTTAGAGAAAAAAAGAGTAAGAGACTGAAAAAAATAAAGTGAACTAATTGAATAGAAATAGAAAGAATTAGAAAATAAAGTAAATTTATTGAAAATTACAAAGAAAATTAAAGGGAAACTCTCTATGCAAGCATAGTTATTAATGGCGAGGGGTGGGCGAGAGGAACTTAAACACTACATAATTGTCGGAGGAAAACAAAATATGCATAGAATACTGAAAGGCGAGCTAGGCAAATGTCTGAGGCAGTGATTTAGGCAAGAAAAGTGACCACCTTAGGCGCGCCTTAGGGATCTTTCCTCACTTGGCTTCCTTGAGGTCGCCTGAGGCGCTTTAGGCGAGAGAGGCGAGTGCCTTTGATAACTTTGTATGCAAGAGACAATGGCCATATAGTATCTTGCAAACACTATCTTTTGCTTCTACAGATATGAGCCTAATTTGCAAGTAAGCAAGTCATTAGTGAATGGATACAAATCCATTAACTGTATATTCCCTAATTATTTGTCAATTTTAAAGCAATACTCAATCATCTTGATTAGCTCCTATAATAAGTTCCAGATTTAAATAATTAATGCAAATTGGATTCATTATATGTACCACTATCCCATAAAAGTTTAGCTCACTGCCCATTTTCCACTGTGCAGCGTGCAGGTGGTGCAGGTTTTCAATACTGACTGTGATAGGGAATATAAGTAACATTTCAATATTTGACATTGTATCGTCCTTGGCATGAAGTTTAAATCGTCTATCCTACTTTCCCTATCCCACTTGTGTAGCACAATATTACCATGACAGGACCCGCAGGCCAGACTAAGAATCAGACTCCAATCTGGCCCGGTCCAAGCACCCAAAACCCGAAAAAGCCTGATCCAAACCCGGGAACTGGTTTGTTGGGTTTTTCTCCGGTCTGGTTTTAATAACATTGGTGTAGCACTCATTTTGCTTGATCAATGTCTATTGTTAATTAATGAGCATAATAAAAAAGTCTAACATTTATTAATATGATTTCAACTAATCAAAATTAGCCACACACCTATGGAATAGGACATGTGGGACATGATTTCTAATCATTGACTTGTATTTTTTTCTTTAGTTCTATTCGATGTCCTCTAAGACCCTTTTGAAACCTCCAATTTGCTCCTTATTTTCATTTTTGCTCTTGAGATGATGAGGCAAAGCACCATTTATTTGCTCTACAGTTGAATACACAATCTCATAGTATGGTTAACCACCCCTCTCATAAAAAACGAGTCCCTTTAGAAAAGGCATTTGTAGTATTTTAAGGATTTTGCATGCTAACAAGTGACACAGTTTCGGCTATCGTTATTCCAAGATTTCTCTAGGTTGTGCACTAGCTAACGTTTAATGGAAGAACTGTATGTTTTGACCTTCCTAAGCTTTTGCCCTCTACAGTTTCCTTTCGTGTGCCCTCCCTGCAAAGTGTCATCATCCAGGCCAGTAGGCACTTTCTACTTGTCTTATTTTTAAACATAGCAGCCATATCTGGGAACTTGTCTTACAACTCTTATGAGTTTTGCAGGAAACAGGTTCAGGTTTCCATGCAGATAGTGATCACCACAACCATATTTTAATTACAGATTTACCATGAAATGTGTGACAGGTCCTAGAAGAAGACTAGTGAACGTGGTGCTTCGTTTACCGGAATTTGCTGTTAGTCAAAGATCCCAAACTTGGAAGAGCATGGGTGCTCGAGGAGGATTCGCGGGTTTTTTTTTTCTTCTTTTTTCCTTTAGACTTGCTGGCGTCGTTGCGTGGGTGATATTTGTTAGTTCTAACCATTCGATGAGAAACATCACTCTGAAAAGTGTTGAAGGATGTATTGTTTGCATGTGCTGTTGCTGATATTACCATGATTTTAACTATACTGTGATGTGGACGGGCATTTCTCTTATATGTTTTTGAAGTTTTAAATTTGAAATATTGAATATGATGTATCCACCTAGCACAATTGGGGTTAACTTCACATTCTGCACAAGATTGGGTGCAACTCGCAATTTTGAATTGGTTACGAGTGGCCTGTATTGCTCTGCTCAATCCAACTTACAACCCATCCCCTTTTATTACCTCTTCTAGAAGAGGCACATTCAAGGTATTATCTTTGTCAACTATCTTACGTGTATTCTAAAGATTGGATGTATTCCACTCAGAACCCGGTTCGAAATCGAGTCCACAGCAATTGACCGGTCAAGTTGCAAACGTGTCTGAATGGAAGATTTAAACTAAAAAAGACTACCGGTCATATTCGGAAAAGTTGACCGGGACGACGTATTAACACTCGGTCGGAGTATGTAACTTCACGCTTGTGGACTTTTGGCCTTTTATAACATGGGAAATAAACCTATCGGGTAGGTTATTACTGTGTAAAAGTGTCGGCACGAATAACTCTAAGGTCATTTGGACTGTAGTGACCGATTTTCAACGAGAGATTGAGGAAATATTTCCTCGATCTCAACTAGGCACTACGTGCCGAAAGAGGAGTCACCAGCACAAAACGACATGGGAATGAGACAAAATGCTATGAGACAAAAGGGAAGCCACCTCGCGCCATCAGAGAACATGGGTTGATGTAGGCGCGTGGCGCTGTGTCCCCTCCCTTTCCTTATAAATGCCCCTCATAGGAAGGGATCCAAATTTTATCTCTCTAGAATTTGTATTGTAATAACTTCTGGCACTTTCTTGCAAACTTAATAACAATTGGACTGCAGGTGCTTCCACCTACAATCCTATCGCTCACTCTTGCTTTTCACACTTCTTTACTTTCTAAGCTTAGCGAACTATTCTAGACCCGGCATAGTACAACTTGTCTGGTGGTTAATTTACACCATCATATCCCAAAGTTTTACATTTATATTTTGATGGCTTACACTGGTACATCTGTCAGTGCGATGACAAGATTTTGCACTGACATTTTGTATGTATATAAGTCATCAATCTCATACTTACATCGATATAAAATGTAAGTGTAAACTTTTGAGTACAAGTAATTTATTCTCTCTAGGAAAATAATACAAATTGCAAATCACAATAAGGCCCATTGGGACAAATTGCACTCATTTTGCAATGAAGGTCTTTGTCTTTATGTCCTCGTTGGAATTTAACTTTATTGGCACTAAGGTGTTATGGAAAAGACGAAAAGTGGAAAATTGTTTGGGCAAAATAGGTTATCTTCTGGGGTGTGTTTGGAAATAACATTTACGATTAGCATTAAGATTTTGGATAAAATTTTAATGGTTTAGATTAATTTTAAAAAATGCTAACGCTAAGCGTTGCCCGTAGATAACACTTTCAAAACGTCAACGCTAATCTCTAACGTTATTTCCATACAAGCCCTAAATTATTCTTATGAGTCGAACAAAAACGCTTCATTTCGTAGCGTTTTCAATTTTGGTGTTTTCATACAAAACGCCATGCCAATCAGCCAATTCCCAAACTCATAAAATAGCTCTTTTGAGTTTTGACCAAGTCAAAATGCTATACTAGTCAAACCTGCTAAATATTGGGAGAACAACTATTTACCAAACAAGGCTAACACGGAGTATTTCCTTCACCTCATATCTTTCTTCGCAATCTGCCATTTCAACTTCACGAAAACTTTTACTTAGTTATATTTTTTCATAGCCTATATGATAAAGTAAAATATTCTTGTCACCACTTATTTTGATGAACTTTTGGTGTAGTTTTTAAGTATGTAAGTTTTATTTTTAATTTGTATACCAATATTAAATAAAATATATTTAAAAAATTTGGAGTTTATTTTGCCCAAAAGTATTTATTTTGTTTACCCAAAAAACAATGTCAAATGAAAATGTAGCTTGCATTAGGATAGAGGGAGTAGTATGAAACATGGAAGTCTCATGTGCAGGTGTGATGGGCAAAACAAAACAGAAAATAAGCTAAATGACAGAGTTGGGTTGAAAGCGCACCGTGTATGATTGAAGTTTGTTTAACAAAAAATTAAAACGCATAAATCACATACTTTTTACTTTATTACAATAAATTATCACCTCCGTTTCTTGACATTGCTAAGTAATGTCATGGGATGACCCGAGAGTCGTACCATGTTTCGTTCGTAAAACTGACTATTCTTATCCTTTCATGACATTACTAAGCAATATTATGGGAACCGCCCCAATAAATAATGTAATTTTTTTTTAAACGACACAAAAGGTTCGAAATGAGTGATTTTCAGAATTTCAGGATGGTAAAAAAAGTCAACAAAGGCCCCCTAATAATTTCGTGGTAGAATATTTAATTTCTCCACCCATCCTTTTATCCTATTTTTTTTCTTTCACACTATATATTTCTACTTCTTGATCTATAAAAAAAGGTTTTATATTTTCTTTTTTGTCTTACAATTTCGTTTATCTGAAATTATAATTTGATTTACATCTTTTTTGATGAGCAATTAAATTTCACCTTTCTTAATAATTGTACTTGATCAAATATGGAATCTTAGTTTAGAAAAAAAGGAGTATGAGATCCTTGTTACTAGAGGTAGTGATGAGTTCAACCGTCAACAACACACATATTGATTTAAACACACGGTAGGTGGGAATCTTCCTTTCAATTCAATATATTTAAAATTAAAATAGATGTAAAATAAATAAAATATAAAACTGTACCGTTAAAACTAGCAAATACTGATTTGACTACTTTATTTTATCAAATACGGAGTATGAGTTATCAATAAAAATATGTAAAGAAAAAGAAGTGTGTTTTGCTATATGAATAGTGAACAAAAAACCTATTCTAGGCGGAGAAAATATAAATCATTTTCTAGCTTTTTGATTGATTTGACTTATTAAAATTTCACTTATAAAAGTGGGAGGCATGCATAGAGAGGTAGATAGATACATACATACTTGTACTCGTGTTATAGTTATAGAGGGAGAAGAAGAAAAAGAAGAAAAAGAAGAAATGAATATTGGGCAAGGGGAATCAAGGGTGAGGAGTGACCACCATCAAGGGGGAGATGAAGTTGGGAAGAAGGTTATTGATGAGGATGCTGGTGCCCTCTTTGTCCTCAAATCCAAAGGTAGGTCCCTAAACCATACTACCTCCATATAAATAAGTAATTCTATAACATGTGTTTTAATTAAATATGGGGTTTTTCCATATATATTTAGTGTTCTATTACTACAAATATATTAGGTTCGTGATCCTTTGTTTATGAATATCCTTCTATGGATAGTTTGTTTTATTACCTTAGTGTAAATTAAGAGCAAAAGGCGTAGTTTCATATGGGTTATACGTCCATCTTGTTATATCCAACTGCAAAGGACGCTGCTAATGTGTCGTTACATATTTGAATTGCCACTCACCGCATGCCCGCAACCATAGTCAACAACTGTGGACATTGACTTGGTCGGGATCCAAACCTCCAGGAGTCATTGTTGTTATTTTGTTTATCAAACCGATACCAGAATACGTGAAAGGACCTAGGGTTTGTATGAAATTACACATTTTAGTCATCAATTTAACATCAACATGATGGAATGACAAACAAAACATTTCTGTAGAAAAGTACCTAAAAATGAAAGATCACGAACTTAACATTTGGTAGTATAGGACTAAATAGAGAAAATTCTTATTATTAAAGAACTAATAATACAATTACTCTATTAAGGTGTCAGTGTAAGCTATTAAAATAGGGAGATGCTAGGGGTACACCAAAGGTGTATCCCAAATGTACACCGCTTCACTCTACACCATTCATTTTATTTTGTTTTTAATTTTTATTTTTTTTGAATTTTACTTGCCTTTTTTTCTGATAATGGAGGGGGTGTGGGATATTTAGGGTACACATTTGGTGTACCCCTAACATTTTCCATTAAAATATCAATGTAAAATTTTAAGGTACAAATTGATATATACAAGTGGTGTAGACTAGCACACTTCTCTAATTCACCCCTCTTTTTACACACCCTACTTTGTTCCTACTAGGCACTAACATTTTCTTTACCTACCATAATTTTTTAACTTTAACTTTATAGAAATTGAGAAAAAAGTAAATTTATTTTGGATTTTAGATCTATATAATAAACCATGAACTTTCTCAATTAAGTAATCTAATAAAAAATAATTAAATAAATACTTATCATATTACATTATAAATATACTCATATAATTGTTTATCATTCTTGTTTTGGATTGATTTAATTATACTGTTGGTCTTTCAAGTTATTGCATTATGCACAGTTAGTATTTCAGCTTTGAAAATTTCACGAATAGTTCTTCAAGTCATGTTAACTTTGTATGATTTGTTTTTTTTGTTAACTTTGACATTAGTCCATGTATTTTATCCATTTTATATAATGAATAAATGTGAGAGGCCCTCTTTTTCATACAATTCAGTGATACTTCATGTAAATCCGATTTTAATTGAAATTTTAGGTAAAAAATTAACTTTGGTTGGATGTAAAAATTCAAAATTATTTGATAAATACTATCAGACGGACTTGTAAAAACAAGAGTAACTTATTATTAATAAAAAATAGATCTATATTCAAAATTATTTGATAAATACTACTCCCGCCGTCCCATGAAACATGGGAGTTTTGCTTTTTAGGAGGAATTTAAGGTGAGTGTATTTTGGTATTGAATTTCCAAAAATGTCCTTTGATGTGATGGGTAAAAGTATGATTTGATGGATATATTATTAGTAAAAAGGCATGATGTGATAATTAGGGTATGAAAAAGTAAGGGGTAAAAATAACTTTTTAATAGAAATGAGAAGTGTTTTGTGGGACGGATAAAAAAAGAAAGGAGAAAGGTTTTATGGGACGGAGGGAGTATAAGACGGACTTATAAAAGCAAGAGTAACTTATTATTAATAAAAAATAGATCTATACTCCATATTAAATATGGAACAACAATACAT